AAACTTGAACCTATGATGTCTAATAAAATGAGAGGTCTAAAAAAATCTTACTAATAAAGAACTTTTTTTTTGCTCCTGTGCTCTCCAAGTGTTCAATTAAGTGGGCCAAAGAACAAATAAGAATATTATAAATATAAAATATTTCAGTCTAAATAAATGTGCATCTAAAGTTCTAATAAACATTTAATATAACCTTAGTGTTTTGATGTTACAGTTTTGAGAATTTGATAACTCAAATAGATGATAAAACAGAATTATTTATTGAATTCAAAATATTTTATTAAATGGCATTACTTTTTAATTTTATTAGAATAAAAAATAAATCAGAGGAATCAAACAAACGTTCACCAGGTTTTTGTCAATCATACCAAAGATAGTGAACTCGCAACTAACAATTATGGAAATTTGCTGTGTCACTGCCACTCACTGAATGCCACTTGTGTGTCAGGCTAAATTATACTAGGTGCCTTAACTACTTTACGGTGTTAAAATCTTTTAACAACCCTATTATGTAAGTATGATTGTGTTCATTTTAAAGATGAGCAAACAAGTTCAGAGAATTTAGAAAACATCTTAAGTTTGCACAATATGTGACAGAGAAACAAATATTTGAGTGAAGCCTACATTCTTTTCATGTTCCAGTTACAACCTCTTGATTTTTTTTCCCAATTCCTATTATTGTTCAAGCCAATTTCAGCTGTGTTTTCTGAAACTTTCATTCAAAAGTTTCCCAACTGATACAACACAGAATTTCATGAAGCCTGTGTAATGTGGTGGTATAAAGAAAGAAAATAAATATTTATTTTTTTGGCATTGTACATTTCATAGTTTCTTAATTCTTTCATATAGTAAAGAATATAGAAATTATTTGGGGTACCACATGTTTATTGAAACAAATTCTAGAATTATTCACTGCTAAGAATTATTACTGGGATCAGGACTCCCAGTGTTTGTTTAGACACAACTACTTTTGTTGTTAGAGATCTTTTAGAATGCTTTTGGTTATATCATTCAAGTATTTCAATTCTTCCTTGAGCTTCTGAAGAGCAAAACTCTCCATTAATATTTTCATTTGTAGTATTGATTATAACTACAAGCATTTCATGTGCTTCTTAGTGGACATCTCTTCATTGTGATAATATTGCACTATAGTAGTTTTTCCTTCCAATTATATTATTATACTTCAAATGTCATTTTCCCATTAGGTGTATAATAAGATATATTTTCATACGTTAAAATCTTGTTTATTGATGGATTTTACACAGGACAGTCTCAGGTTTCTAGCCCATTTGTAAGAAGCTCCTATTGAGAAATTCAATGAAGCATGGGAACAATGCACAAGTAATTTATTAACATATCAACAGGCTTTAATTTGCTAACATTTTCCTATCATGCTAGGGTGACAGAATAGAAAGAAGAAATTGCTAAAGCATGGAATATAGTAAAATTTGAAGAAAAGCTATCTACCTTTTAAGTGCTCATGGATTGCACTGTTCACAGCATGAAAAACTACATGCTTGCAAAACGACAGTTTCTAGTCATATTGCCTAATTTATTTAGGCTCCATCTGTTTACCTGTATTATTTACTTAACACTATATAAAATTAGAGGAGCACATGTGAGGCACAAAAGGAAAAGCTCTGCCAAAGGAAATACACATTACACAGGTTAGCATAAAAACCCTGAAGTGGGCTGGGCTGGGCGTGGTGGCTCATGCCTGTAATCCCAGCACTTTGGGACACAGAGGCGGGTGGATCATGAGGTCGGGAGTTCAAGACCAGCCTGGCCAACATAGTGAAGCCCCGTCTGTACTAAAAATACAAAAAAATTAGCTAGGTGTGGTGGTAGGAGCTTGTAATCTCAGCTACTCAGGAGGCTGAGGCAGGAGAATCGCTTGAACCCAGGAGGTGGAGGCTGCAGTGAGCCGAGATCGCACCACTGCACTCCAGCCTGGGTGACAGAGCGAGACTCCATCTAAAACAAAAAACAAAAAACAAAAAAAGAACCTTGAAATGTTTATATCTTCAGTTACTGTAGAAACAGTGACTTCCTCATTTATTTTAACTCATTTTTTCCTACATGGATAAATGGAAAAAATCTATGATTACCAGCAGATATGTGGTAAATAGATGCCTTCTATAAACCATACTAATCATAATGAGTGCCACATTTTCTTTGGCTGGGCTAGGTTTCAAGAACATTTGAATCCAAATGTCTTAGCGAGGCTGAGCCTGTACTCCCCAGTGAGGCACAGTCCCCACTAAACCTATCTCGTAAATGCTGGCCTCTCATATTGCTATTAACTATCTGAGTTTTCATTTTTGCTCTGGGCTGAACTCCCTCCGAGTGGCTGGGAATATGTCTGCTTTATTCACTCCTGTACACTCTTTCACTTGTAGAGTGTTTGACATATAGCACATGTGTGATAAATATTTGTTGACTGAACAATTGAATGAATGAATAAATAGATGGAGAGAAAAAAGGAGCTTCAGTCTGTAAGTTTCCTTTAAACACAATATCCCAGTTGATTTCGAAGAAAAAGAACTTCCTTCCTTGTTTTAAAAATAATACAATAGACATAATAGTAGTCATCATATGAGGTTTTAATATGCTACCTGATAATCTATACTCTGAATTTGTATCGTATATAATAATGTCTAAGTAATGTTTATTTAATTAACGTTAAATAAAATACATGCAGACAAGATTTCGTCAAAGTTGAACAGTTTTCATCCTCACATCAATAAGTTAGTTTGGTTTTGCTTTACACCCCAAAATTACACTCCAACCTTGACAAGTCACGCATGCCATTCAGACACTCTCATCCAATGTGGATGCGGTCGCATATATTCATCATCACTATTTGAAATACAATTCAAAGCACACGGCCTATAGCAATGATTCACCACTCTACTATTGTCATATACACAGCATTGACTAATACTGATGTGCCCGGCACTACTCTAAGTCCTTTATGCTTGTTAACCCATCCAACACTCCACACCACAACCCTATTATTATTGATGTCTCATTATATAGGTGAGCAAATGAAGACAAAGAGAAACTAATACTCCTGTCTAAGGCTCCACAGCTGGTAAATGGCAGAATTAGGATGTGAATGTAGGCAGTGTAGCTGCAGAGTTCTTGTTCCTAATCACTACAGGTTGAGCATCCCTAATCCAAAATTCTGAAATCTCAAATGCCCCAAATCCAAGTTTTTGAGCACTGATGTGATGCTTAATGGAAACACTGCAGCATTTTGGATTTTGGGTTTTGAGATTACAGATGCTCAACTGGTAAGTATATAATGTATATATTAATATTTCAAAATCCAGAAAGATCCAAAATCCAAAACACTCTGCATGTCCCAAGCATTTCAGATACAGGATACTCAACCTGCATGTATTATCTCTTGTGTGGGTCTCTCTAAAATATCGTACGTTATTTTTAATTTTTGTGGGGACTGATCTTATCATTTAGATAATCTATAACTAGATTTATTCCTGAAGGGCAGGCTGCATGAATTACAATGCTTCTATCTAACTTATCTTGAATAATTTAGTTACCTGAATGTGGTAAATAGTTAAAAATTTTTGGTTGACTCACATTGGAAGAATTACTATATTTGCAAACATTAGAATTCATTTGCTAGCAATTTATTTCTACCAGTTGTGTGAGTCTCAGTAAGAGGTTGGCTAACTGATGTTTTAGGTCCCTTTAACACCTATAATACCACAGCTGAAATTATCCATCAGCTACCAACTAAAATTTAATAGGGAGTTATGTAAAATAAAAGAACTGGAGACTGACACGTAAGAACATGAAAAAATTAGTCAACAGTCTTCAAAAGAGGCTAAGAAATATTCCATGTGTAACAATAATAGCTAATACTCAGGAAGTGCTTCTCTGTGCCAAGTACTATGTTATATTCTTTAAATGTACATGTCATTAGCTCTATACCACTCTATGACATGGGACAGTATTATTATTCTCATATTACAAATGGGCCAGGAGAAACTAGCTTTAGGTCACACAGCTAGTACCTAGTGCAATACAGAACTTCAACTTGGATAGGTCTAGCTTTCAAAGGCCAGAAAAGGCGCAGGAGCAAGCATGCTCAGTTAAAAACCATCTGTGGGATTCATTTTAAATCGGCGGTAATGGCGTTTCCCTAATTCACAGAGCTTATGCTGCTCTTGTCCATTAGCCCCTTAGACCTGCCCCCCAAAACCAAATGTATGCACAAATACCTTTCAACTTTCTGTGGATTGCTAAATCAGACAATCAAGTCTTACAGAAAAGAGAGATACATTCAAAGTCAATGGGCTGAGACTTTACTACGGCTAACACACATGAACTTTAAGGCAAGCCTCTGGCGTAAGCTTAGACTATAGAGCAGCTTTCTGGGCTTAGTTCCCAGTTCTTCACTGAATTTCAAACAGTTCAGTATCACACTGTAGTTTCCTCTGGACAAACGAGGTAAGCTAATAAAAATTTTGCCTTTTATTTCTTATTACCGTTATGCACCATTTTCTTGCCATCTTTTGGACCATATCTTCTCCCTCATATATAGATAGACGCTTGATAAACTTAACTGACTTTCTTTTCAGTATTATATTTCCCTACAATGTGTGTATTTTATGGTCAATATAACATGCCTCATCATCTAAGGAATATATCACATAAATGATTTGCCATCATATTTTCTACTAATTTTAGGTTTTTAACCTTGACTTTAAAGCCTAGGATATATGAGAAACCTCTCCCTACATGTGCTATTTCTCAAATACCCATTTCATTTTGCCTATGCTAGTACTAGTTTATCTTCTTGTAGCTTAATTCCTGTGCTAAGAATTGGTAAGATTTAGAAACTGACTGTGTAAGTCAGGATAACCAGTTTCACTTTCTCACAAACATTAACTGGCTACATACACTCTGACAGAAATACTATTAGACTACAGCCTGATGAAGAAAGCTGACTTCTATATGTTTAGAGTTACCTTTGATAGATCCCTGAAATTTCCTGGAAGAGTCAGGTCCAATTCTTCTGATTCATAGTTGGTTAACACCCACGGAAATACTGGATATTGGTTCAGATCATTATATGTCCGTCCTAGTAAAGAAAAACAGAAATAAAAATTTGTATACACAAAATCCTTATGAAATAGTTTCTGTTCTTACAAAGCATATATTGAATTTCAGAAGAAAAGTAACTTTTTATTTATTGAACCATACCTTTAACTCTGATAACAATGCTTTTCAAGTGAATTCATTCAATTGTTTTAAAACATAACCAGAATTACTATTTATAAGATTGTGATAGAGACTACTGGCTGGTTATTGTAATTGATTCTCCTCTTCCTGTGCTACACCACATTTCTCAGCCTCCCTTACAAGTAGCTATGGCCACGGGATTTAGTTCTAATCTACAGAATGTGAGCAAAGTCTCTTCAAGGCTTGGCCCACTGAAACTTCCTGCATGTGTGTCTCATCTCTCTTCTGCTGATGTAGATAATATTGCAACCCTGGAAGCAGAGCCTTGTCAGTTAGAGGCCCTGGAAGTAATTATGGAGGAAGTCACCCCAATGACCTGCACATTTGCAGCTTAGGTGACGGTATTCTATTTTATCTTTTATTTATTTTTTATTTTTTTTGAGATGGAGTCTCGCTCTGTCATCCAGGCTGGAGTGCAGTCGCGAGATCTTGGCTCACTGCAATCTCTGCCTCCTGGGTTCAAGCGATTCTCCTGCCTCAGCCTCCGGAGTAGCTGGGATTACAGGCACATGCCACCACACTTGGCTAATTTTTGTATTTTTAGTAGAGATGGGGTTTCACCATGTTGGCCAGGCTGGTCTCAAACTCCTGACCTCGTGATCTGCCCGCCTCAGCCTCCAAAAGTGCTGGGATTACAGGCCTGAGCCACTACGCCTGGCTGTGATGGTATTCTATTATAATGAATATATATCGAGAAATTATATTATGAGTACACAGAATACTATGTTAAACTTATATCAAGAATGAGTGCAGAGAATTTGCAAGTGGACAGAAGTACTCTGAAGCTAGGATGAAAAAGTACAGAAGCAGATGTCAATCATACATTTTTTCACTCCTTAAGTTCATGATTTTTTTTTTTTAATCTTATGTTGTTTCAACTCAGTGATGAACTGCTGGATCTTAGGGTGAGTATGTCTGTTTATGTTTTGGTAGAATGTCTTAAACACTTCAGGTGTGATATTGAGGCACAGTGGGAATGTGGAAAGTTTAGGGGAGCAAGCTGTGCGCCCCCTCATAAACTGGAACTGAAAAAACATAGGATCAGGTGAAATTAAAAGAATGGCTATCAAAGAAACAGGATCATAAGAAAACTTTTGTTGAACAAAATTATTTTTTATAAAAATGTGTTATGATCCAATTATCATTAATTTTCTAAATTTCCATTAAAATTCACACAAAACAGCTATTTCACTGGTATTTAGTGATATGAATTTCATCCAGTATGCCGTGGTTGCACACACCACATGTACTATCACAGTGATATAGATATGCAGGTATTATCTTGTTCATCATCAGGAAATTACATTAAATGATATCTGCTCTTATAGCAGTTGGAAAACATAACTGTGAAATATAAAAAAAAACCCTACAATTTGAGTAAGACCTAAAATCTGCAATTGTAAGCACCAAACCAAATTAATTAATACATTTAGAAAACATTTTATTGATGACTATTTTATCTGTTTATTATATGAAGCTTTGCATTTTACAACTAAACTGCATATTGCTTTAAGTGTACAAACTGCTGTAAGTATGTAAGATAGGTGTGGATAATGGCAACACAATACTGCTTCCACTTTGCATTTACTGGGATGAGGTTACAGCTAGGTCAGGGCTTCCCCTGTGTTGCCCCACCACAGTTCTCATACAGACCTCTATTATACCTGATACACATCACCGTTTACTTCTCTGCCTCTCTACCAGTCTGTAAACTCATAAATGTCAGGGCTGGGCTGTTTGTTTGTTTTTTAAATCTCTCTGTTTTGGCACATACCATCTGGCCAATAAATGTTTGTTGATGGAATGGATATGCATGTGATAAAAATGGAATAAAATGATCCAAATTTCAGAAGATGAACAAATGTAAGTCAAGTAAAGGAAAACTGCAGAACATTATCTTTAGAAGGTGAGGATTATGCAAAGGCATAGAGGTATATATGAGAGAGAATGATACTGTGAATGTCTACATTAAACTAGAAGAAAATGTCTGCAGCTAGGTAGCTCAAGCAATCGATGAACCTGCTTGTATTTAAGTCTATGATAAAGAATAATAATAAGATTAAACGAGAGTTTGGAGCCATATTAAAGTCTTTGGTACATGACAATAATCTGCTAAAACAGTACCAATATTGTAAAATAAAAGGTGTACAATTATAAACTTGAAAATTTATTACTAATAGTTCATATGTATGCTAACCTAGGACATCTGATTGGGCTCAGTATTTTTTTTTATATGTATACATACAAAGAGTACAGATTGGCTAGACAGAGCTATTTCTGGGATCCTAAATGGGTCCATGGCAGAGTTTAGAGCTCTTCCATTTTCTAGGGGGAACTGTTCTACTTAAAAATCTGGAGATTTTAATGAAAAGCAAGTATTCCAGTGTGTATTTTTTAAAAGAATAATGCTGATGCTACCTATCTAGATATAACATATATTACTTAAAGAAATTAATTGATAGATGAAAATCAGATACCACAATTGTTAAAATAATTTCTGACGAAGTTTTATAAGTTACATATTAAGGAAAACTGTTAAAATAAAAAGCCAGTTTACATAAACACAGTATTTAAATGTTCTGTATAAATGCAAATAGCATAAAAATGTAGACCATATTTGAAGACCCTAGCCTTTTAATAGAAATGATTTACTAAGAAAAGGATACTGCTTGAGGATAGCGGGAAGGAGGAAGGTGAGGATCCAAAAACTACCTATTGGGTACTATGCTTATCACCTGGGTGACAAAGTAATCTGTATATCAAACACCCGTGACATGTAATTTACCCCTATAATAAATCTGCCTGAACCTAAAAGTTAAAAAAAGATATAATGCTATTTTTAGAAAGAAATACAAAGAAGAAAAGCATTATTTAAAAATGCACACACACGTATACATAAAATGAATGATGCCAGTAACCGTATTTCATGTCTATTATTCTGTCCTGCATTTTTTTTTTGTAATTCACTTTAAAAAATCTTTGAGTGGTCCTTTGAAAATAAGTGCTAAGAAGAAAATTTTAGTAATTTTTAAATTAGCAGAGGTTTATATCACTATTTTAATTCTAATAAATATAATAAACTTTATAAATAAATATGACATTAATGCTTGTTTTTAATAACAATTTCTGCATAAGGGCCTACCAAAATGGACAGTCATATATGTATTTGATTTGAATTAAAAATGCACAATGTATTTAATGTTACACGGAAAAAAAAGAGTGATTAAGTGGCACTTTGGGGTTCTGCATTGATATGTTTTAATCATGAATTAGAATTACTCCTTTAATTACTTTACTGAACACCTTTGTGAAATGAAAAAAAAAATTACTGTTCATGAAATCATCCAAAAAGTGAGATATTTCCAAAGTAATACTTGTTAAGCTCTGGCATACCTAGATATTTATTTACTAATTGTTTTGTTTTTTCTTTAGGATAGTTGATATTTAGTAAATACACTGGTGCTATAATTGGTAGGGTCTTTTCCTTTTCCAGCAGTGGTAAGTATATATATATATTTGTGTGTGTGTATATATATGTGTATGTATATGTGTATATATATAAATATATATGTACACTTTATTTTGCTAACTATGCTTATAAGAATTTATCTTAGGAGATGAATATTAAATACTGCAAGCCTATGACACTAATCTACTCAAATAATAAAAGTGAAACACAGTAAATGAGATCTCAGAATCACTGGATATGTTTCTTCATTAAAAAAAAACTTTTTAATTAAACCATCCAATTTAATGTTTTTATATGGCACTTTGGTTTTGAAGGTAAAGTGATCTAGAGACAGCTGACAAAGAAATTATAACTGCAATTCCTTGGTGAAAATGTTAATGACAGCAAAATATTGTTTAATTAGATGATTGCAGCATCTGGATTAACACTCTTTAAGAGCGATGTTCCTGTGCTTGTCTGCTTCTTCACACTTTACAGACATTTTGTCATCTCTAGGTCATTAGGAAAGAATTTTTAATGATTTTTCTAGAAGCAAGCAGTTCAAGTTACATCTAATTAGATGACAATAATAAGCCCAACACATGCAGTAGCTAAATATATACATAATTAACCAGGGAGGGCTTGTTCATCACAGAGTAAAAAAGTGGAAAATGCTAAACAGGAGAAAAAGGTTGGGGTTGGAGAAGTCGTGCTGAATTCATTAGCTGATCATATGAAAAACAACTCAAAATGCTTAAAAAAAAAATTCTCAAGTTTAACAGGGGATCATTTATACAAAGCTACGTTAGCAGTCACTCTCCTATGTTTTAAAATGCAAGAATTACAGGTTTCAACATCTTTTCCATAATATTATCTAAAAAGGTATAAAATAAGGTGTAGGTTGTATTTTTCAGAAAACGAACAGAAATCAGGTCAATCTGGGAACTGAAAGTTGAAACCACATTTTAAGTAGAACTCTAAGTATCATTAAGATTATTTTACATAATCATCTAAAATTTAATGTTCTTTCAAAAAAAATCAAGTGTTTCACAAATAGTTACATAAATTATGCCATATTTCTAAACTGGACTCTCACGTAGTTTTAAAAGTCATGCCTTCAAAGAATATTTAGTGAAATGGAAAAAGCAGAAAGCAAACCTATATACATTATAGGTTCCCAATGATACACCACACACAGAGAAAGAAAAACAGAAAAATCACCCAAATGACGACTGTGATATTTACAGCTAGAATTTTGAGTGGTTTAATTTTTAAAATTACCATTTTTTGTATTTCCAATTTTCTAAAATGAACGTTCATTAAATTTATAAATAGAATAAAACAAAGCCTAAGAACACATTTATGGAATTTTAGTTGTCTTTTAAATATGT